ACTGTGTTAAGTGCTTTAAAAGCATCTCATTTTGTTCTCACAACAGCCCTGGGAGGTAAATGCTATTTATGATCCCTATTTTTAAGTGGAAGAAACTGAAACAAACAGGAGTTAAGTGACTTGCCCAGGGTCACACACATAGGATATGTGAAGTCAAATTTGAACTCAGGTCTTCCTGACTCCAGGCCCAGCGCTCTGTTCACTCTGCCACTTAGTTGTTTACAGTGTGATAGCTACTAATCAATTATGCTTTTACATGACTATAAGTGATATACCTTAAGGAATTAAGAAAGCGTTGCCAAGGTGCAGCAAGGTTGAACAGTGGATAGAGCACAGGCCCTGGAGTCAAGAAGACCTGAGTTCCAATGTAGCCTCAGACACTTGATACTTAGTAGTTATGTGACCCTGGGTAAGTCACTTAACCCTAATTGCCTTGCTCCCCCTCAAAAAAAAAACATCACCAAAGATTACTAAGTTATGACCAAGAAACTAAGGATCTTTGCGGGGGGAGGGTAAAGATGGTATGTTCACCACTAGAGCTTTAGAAGAGAAAGACAGACTTGGGAAATGAACACCTTGTTTCTAAGAATGGGTGTGAATGATAATCATAATAGGCTAGGATGGAATATGCCAGACCAGGGCTGTCAACAATGTTTTCTCTTGATGTTTTGCAAATAGTCAAAAGGGACTTAAACAGAAAAGGAAGTACATGGGTAATGGTGGAGCAAAATACTATCGATGTAGTATCGTATATACCATATATAAACATAGCATCATATATATCACATATCATGGATATTATAGTATTATATAATATAGTAGAGTTATGTGAAGTGATCCAGGAATAAGAAGGGCAAAATAGTGTTGAAAACTTTTTCATGATGATCAATATAGGCAGAAATGATATTTCAGACAGAATATTCTATAGATCATCTGGGCAGAAGGAAGTAGATGGAGAGTTCAGGAAGCAGATCACAAACTTGGCATAGAGGAATGCTGTAGTAATGATAAAGGACTTCATTCATGTGGGCATCTGCTAGATTCAGTCAAATCTCTCAGTCAAATGCAAAGCAGTTCATACTTTGTTAACTTGCCTTAATAACAATTCCTTTTTTCAAAAGGTAATGGAATCAATAAGAGGAAATTCTATGCTGAATCTGAATCTCACCAATGAGGAGGAGCTACTTGTTGTGGGGTAGAAATTGTGAGGAAGGATCATCCATCAAAATTTGTGATAGGGGAAAGTGATACCTAGTTTGAAATCCACCCTTGGTTTCAGGAGAGCAAGGAAAGGTAGAAACGCATTGACTGAAATTTTATAGGAGAATCCAGCCCAGGAGGGATGGAAAAGCTCTCAGTAATGAAGTTCTGATGACACAAAGAGAAAGGATTCAGATGAGGAGGAAAAGGAGGAGTTGTCTCAAGAGACTGAAGTGAATGCACGGGGAACTCAGCAACCAGAGTAGATTTTTAATAGACTGGTATAGAAGATAGAAACAGGGCAGGTAATGGGGCATAAATGTAAAATGTGGCACAATGCTCTAATGACAATGCCAGAAATGCTAACATTCAGAATGAAATGAAGTTGGCAAAAAAAGCTAATGTGAACTGAGAGTGGTTTTTAAAGCTTTATAAGGGAAAAGAATAGGACCACTGCTCAGAGTGGATGGGATGATGTTTAATGATGAAAGAGAGATGGCAAAGCTGTTCATCTCTCATTTTGTTTGCATTTTCCTCTGCCAAGTACAATGACCTCTAGGCTAGAAAGGAAACAACAAACACAGTTAATAGGGAATTGATACCCTAGATGATGAGGAGATAATAATAGAACATCTACTAGCCCTTCCCAAATTTAGGTCATCAGGCCCAGATGAACTACATTTTGGGGACACTAAAAAAAATGGAAATAGTTACTGCCAAGTCACTGTAATAATGTTTGACAGATCATAGAGAACAGGAGAAATACCACAATACAAGAGAAAAGCAAATGTCCTGATTTTAAAATGAGGGGTGGAGGAAGAAAAGATTAGGTTTGAAAAATGTAAGTCAGTAAGCTTGGCTTTAATTCATTGTAAATTTCTACAATGTATTGTCAATGGAATGGTCAGCATCTAGAAAAGGAAAAAAAACGAGCCAATCGATATGCTTCATAAAGAATAGTTCATGTCAGACTAACTGTATTTCTTTTGCTGACAAGTTTACTAGACTAATAGATAAGAAGGATGCTATAGATATAGTTTCCTTAGATTTTAACAAAGAATGTAACAGAGTCTTCCATGCTGTTATTATAGAAAAGATGGGGATGTTATTTAAATAATAGTATGGTTGGGCAGGTAGGTGGTACAGTGGATAGAATCAGGAAGACCTGAGTTAAAATGTGGCCTCAACATTTAGGAGCTGTGTGATCCTAGGCAAGTCATTTAACCCTGTTTACCTCACCTGTAAAATGAGCTGGAGAAGGAAGTGGCAAACCACTCTAGTATCTTTGCCAAGAGAACCTCAGATGGGATCACCAAGTGTCAGAAACGACCGAAATGATTGAACAACTGCAAAAAAATAGTTGTATCAGTTTCAAACTTATTGATGCAATATCAATTATAAATGAAGTCACTAGTGCTTCTTAGATCTGTACTTGATCCTGTGCTGCCTAATTTCACCCATGAGTTAGATAGAGATCTAAGTAGTATTCTTATGAAATTTGCTGATGAGAGACACAGAGCTAGGAGAGATACCTAGTTGACAATTAGGCTTCATAAAGATCTTGACTGGCCAGAATCTAAAAAGTTAAAAAGTAGTAATTCAAATCATCAACTTGGATTGGTTAACTAAATAGCTAGGTTTTTTTAAAAGCAAAATCAGCCTTAGTTCTCTCCCACCAGGCTAGGAAAACTACAACAACAATTTAATTTGGTTGTCCTTATTGAATTTACAGCAGAGCTAATTGTACTTGGCTAAAAATTTATTACTATATCAACTTTTTCAAAAGTGTTAATAATGTGCTATTGCTTTGCTTTTATAAATAACTCCAAGGTTTACCTCTGTCTGAATGAAAACTGTCCAAGAATGTACACTTCCTTTTTAGGAATATATAACTCTAGTTTAGAATGGAATGATAATTATCTTATAGATCCAAGTCTTAAAAAGTTGGTACATTTCCATTTAATTTTAAAAGAATATCTACCTGCAATACTTTGATGGATTTGTGATCTCATTGATCAGGGCAAGCTCTCCATGTATAATCTATCTGTTTAAAAAATATTCCCTTTTACAACCATTGAAGAAGGATTTATTAAGTACCAGATAGGAGAAATATAGCTCAACAGTCGTTTGTGTGAAAACCACTGGCAATTTTAGTGAACTACAAGCTCTCTAAGAGTTAACATTGTGAAATGGCAGCTAAAAAAACTAAGTGCAATCTTCAGCTGTATCATCTCTCACCTGGATGTTTTAAATAGCCTCCTAAAAGGTCTTTCTTTCTCTAGTGTCTCCTCTTCCCCAAGTAATTCTTCATGGAGCAGTCACATTGGCATTACTAAAGAACAAGTCTGACCATGTCCCTGCCATGCTCAAGAAGCCTTAGTGATTCCCTAGTTCCATTGGAAAAAATAAAGGCTCCTCTGTTTGGCATTTAAAGTCCTTTGCACTCTAGTGCTGAACTATGTGTACAAATTAGCTTCATTTTACAACTCCTTGTGCACTCTACATTTTGACCAAACTGGCCCTCTTGCCATTCCCCATTTGCGCCAATACTTCTTCTACCTCTGTGACTTTTATGTAGGCTTCCTCCCATGTATTGAATGTTTTCCCTCCTTGTGCTTCTTGGAATCCTTAACTCCCTTCAAGGATCAGCTCAAGTCTCATCTCCTGTATGAGGCCTTTCAAAATCCCTCAGTTGCTAATAATTCCCCTGAGATTACTTTGATATATTTTTTATTTTCTTATCTGTGTTTGTTTTATTTGCCTTGCTGTTGTCTGACCCAGTAGAATGTAACCTCTGTGATTCTTGAAGATAAGAACTATTTTATTTTTGCCTTTATATTTTCAGTACAGTCCTTTTCACATAGCTGGTGTTCAAATAATGCTTAATTAATTGAATTGCATTGCATTGAGTGGCATAATATCTAGACAGGGCTGTGGAACCTGTGGCCTCAAGGCTACATGTGGCCTTCTAGGTCCTTAAGTGCAGTCCTTTGACTGGATCCAAATTTCATAGAACAAATCCCCTAAAAAAAGGATTTGTTCTGTAAAACTTATATTCAGTCAAAAGGCCACACCCAAGGACCTAGAAGGCCACATGTGGCCTCAAGGCTGCAGGTTCCCCACCCCTGATCTAGAACAATGGAGATGAAAGTCCCAGCTGTACTGTCCCTGCTCAGGCCACATGTAGACTTGGAATGTTCAGATCTCAGAACCACATTTTTGGAAGAACATTGATAACCTAAGATCATCCAGACTAGGGCAAGCAAAATGGTGCAGGATGTCAAGATCATGTCATATGAGAACTAGATGAAGCAATTGGAAATATTTTTGAGATGAGAAGCATTGGGAAGATATGATAGTTGTCTTCAAGTATGTGAATTGCTGCAATATGGGAGAAAGAATAGACTTATTCTGCTTGGCTCTAGGAGGCAGAATTAGGAGCAATAGAGAGAAATTATAATGAAGCAAATTTAAATTTGATATAAAAAAGAATTTCCTAATAATTTGAACTATTAAAAATAGAATGGACTGTCTCAGGAGGTGGCAGGTTTCCTCACCTTGGAAGTCTTTAAGGAGAGTCTGGACAAATATTTGTTGAGTATATTATGCTGAATAATCCTTTTGTATATAGGTTGGATTTATATGGAACACCAGAGTCCCCTTCAACTCTCAAATTCTTTGATTTTCTGATTTATGAAATCTAACGTAAAAGGTTTTCCAGAGTTTCCTTTCCTATTTCCAAGTTACCGGTGAATTATATCTGCCACTAACCTCTTCTGTCTCTATTATTTGTTTTCCAGCTTCATCTCATCCATTGGAATTCCACCCTTTATAGCAGCATTGATGAGGCTGTGGGGAAAACACATGGAATAGCTATTATTGCTTTGTTTGTTCAGGTAAATGGTCTACTATTAAGATCATACATTATGATTTAGAGACACCAAATGATATTTTTTGATTTTCTTAGAATTGGATTTTTATTTTGTAGTTTTATTAATAAAGCAGACAAATGCCTTGATACCTTAAATAGAAGTGTGTATTTTGGCGATCAAGATGTACAAAGCTATATTGCTTAGTAGAAAAGACTTAACCTCTTTTAAATAGATAAATAATTCCTTCATAGTACTTCCTGGAAGTACAAATATCCTGTAAGAGAGAACTTAGTTTAAGTCTTCTTATGTTATTCATTTATTTTTATAAGAAATAATTCTTTAGAATGATCTTAGACTAACCATAGAATCTATGAAGTATCAATCATATGACTTCTTAGTTAATTAGATTAAGCTAGAGAAAATCAAGAAAGTATAAAGACCACTTTTAAAACTAAAAGCAGTGAGCCAGTTAGCTAGTATATGATGTGAACACTTGCAATTTCAGCTCATCTGCTTAGTCTTAAAATGTGGAGAGTCTGAAGAGTTAATAGAAGCTGATCACTTTGGTTTTTGCAGATGACATAACTAAGGCCCAGTGAGTTTACTTGGATTGGTCAATTAAGCAGCTAGGGTTTTTCAAATTATTATTTATTTATTTTTGTTGTCGTTTTTAATTAGATCTCATAATTCCCTCTAGGCTGGGAAAATCTGCAACAATAATTTTGACTTGGTTGTCATTACTGAATTTTTAGCAGAGCTAATTGAATTGTACTTAGCTAAAATTTTATTACTATAGCAACTTTTTCAAAAGTATTAATAATTTGCTATTTTTTTTAAAAAATAAATAACTCTAGAATTTGTCTTTGTCTGGATGAAAATGGCTCTCCTTTTTAGGAACATATATCTCTAGGTTAAAATGGGGTGACAGATATCTTATAAATCCATGCCATGAAAATTTGGTACATTTCCATTTAACTTTAAAAGAATTTCTGTCTTCAATACTTTGATGGATTTGTGATCTCATTGATTTGGTCAAGATCTCCATGTATAATCTATCTACTTAAAAATTATTTCTTTTTACAACCAATCAAGAAGGGTTTATTAAGCAAGCATGCTAGGGCACAATGTTATGTACTATGGAATATAAATAAAGGATAAAATATGGGTCTTGCTCTCAAAGAGCTTACAATCTTATTGGAGAATTAGACACATGTATTTCAAACAATATTGAAACCAAGATATGACAGATTATATGATGGCATATAAATAAAGTGGTTTAGGTTCCTAAATGCTAAAAAGTCTAGGAATATGTTAGCTGGAATAGATAGGGAAGAACACTTCATGAGCACCTATGCTCTTACAAATGTGCCTGTATCTCTCATTTGTTGATTAAAATTGAATTAATTCCATGTTTATTAAAAAAACTATTTAAAGAATAATGAAGACCTGACAATTCATCAAAGTCAGCTTGATAATTTAGAGAGTAATGATTCTATTTACAAGTTACACAAAGTCCTTGTTTTTCCTCTTTTTTTCTAGCTTGTCTTACTAATATTTTACTGTTAAAACTCCAGAGAAAAAAGGAAGTTGCCAATAAAATCATTCAGTTTTGTTCCTAGTAGGTAGCTATTATATGTGAGAAAAGAAACTAATAGCTAAAATGTCTTTTCGGATAATCATAATGTTATTTAATTTCTGTCTGTCTCAATTTCCTCATCTGTAAAATGGGAAAAGTAATGGCACCTACCTTCCAGGCTTGTTGTGAAGAGCAAATGTAATAATAATTATCAAGAACTTAGTACAGTGCCTGGAACATAGTAAGTGCTATATAAATGCTATCTATAATTAACTATTATCATTATTATTATTATTAACTGATAGAGTACTCTAAGGTTTTTAAGGTGCCTTACATAGGTTCTATCATCTTATCTGTGGACTTTAATTACTTTGCCTTCACCATGTTGATAAAGCGTGATTGGCCAGAAAAAAAGAAAAACAAAGAAAATTAATTTGTGCTGCTTTTTCTAACCTTAGAAATTATATCCAAGTAGACTAAATACTGACTCTGCCCCACTCCTCATCTATGATGTCACTAGTATAGAAGAACTTTCTTTACTGATGCAGATCAGCAACATTCTTACATTACCATTTTAGAGACTGGGTTGGGAAATTCTGACTTTGGCCAGGCTCACATTGAACCAGCACTTCAATCTAGAGGCAAGACTTCAATCTAGATCTTTGTGACTCAGAGGCAACTCTCTTTCCATTTCATCAGGCTGGCAAATACTAAGATTCTTAAAATAAAACAATAGAAAACAAAAAAAATGAAAACAATAATCTCATTCTCACTTCTCCTCATCTCCCACAATAAACCAGCTTGTGGATTTTATTTATTTAACCAAAAGTGAATTGACTTTAAACAATATAATGCAAACAGCATATTCTTATGAATATAATTTTAAAATAAAAATCATATGGCTAAACTATTTAAGATCATAGTCACATTTCCATAGTACTTAATGTTACCTTTACTTCAGTTACTATATATCTGGTTCTTGTTGAGTTGTTTTTTGTGTCCAACTCTTCGTGATCCCACTATCCCACTTGTTTTTTTTTTTTTTGCCAAAGATACTGGAGTGGTGTGCCATTTCATTTTCTAGCTCATTTTACAAACGAGGAGTGGAGACAAACAGGGTTAAGTGACTTGTCCAAGGTCACACAGCTAGTAAGTCTCTGAGGCCAGATTTGCATTCAGGAAGATGAGTCTTCCTGATTCCAGGTCTGGTACTCTATCCATTATGCCACCTAACTGCCCCATGTATCTGCTTTGTTGTGGCTGTTCTTCCATGATAATGGAGATGGGAAAACATTCCTCTGTTTCACTGTTCTGCAAAGCTGGGGATGGGATAGGGATAAAAAACAAAAGGTTTAGCTATGCTTTTATTGTCTTGGGTCTTTTGAATATTTTTAAAACAAAATGTGATGTGTTTCACATTTTCATCTTCTGATTTGATGTGTCACAAAGGAAATTTTTTCCCCTGCTATACAATAAGATGAAGTTAGAATGAGTTGTTGCCCATTTGATATCTAGTTATTTTGTTGTGCCAGTTTGGGCTGCAGTTTTGATTTTATCTAAGTATTATTCTTATTTTTCAGTCATTTTTCAGTCATGTCTGACTCTCTATGACCCCATTTGGGATTTTCTTGGCAAAGATATTGGGGTCAGCATTTTCTTCTCCAGCTTATTTTACAGATGAGGAAACTGAGGGGTTAAGTGACTTCCCCAGGGTCACTTAGCTAATAAGTGTCTGAGGCTAGATTTGAGCTCAAGAAGATGAGTCTTCCTGACTCCCAAGTTTTTTAAAGGCATTTTTAGACTTTAGATTTAAGGCACTTAATCTTGTTTGATAGCACTCTATCATAGTTACTAATGTGGAAGTAACTGAATTATTCCAAACAAAGAGATGCCACTTACATCAGGTCATTAACTTATTACAATATTTTTTGTACCATAACATTGTGTAAAACATAACTTTCATTTTTGGATTGTTTATTCATTATGTTTCAGATAGGAAAAGAGCACATTGGCTTGAAGGCAGTAACTGACGTTCTCCAGGATATTCAGTACAAGGTAAGTCATTATTTAAAAAGGGGGAAAACAAAACAAAAAAAAACTTGATGTATGAGAGATGTACAATAAATCAACAGAAGCTGTGAGGCAAGTACCAAAAAAAAATTGCCTAATAAGTACAATGAGGCAATACAAAATTACTGTGATTATACTAAAAAAAAAGAATAAGACCTGAGAGATACTATTCAAGTGAATGATAGTCATAGGAGAATGTCCTTAAATGTATCATGGAATCACATTTTGATCAGGTCATATTACCTTACAGGCCTATACTGAATCCATTTTGGAATTTATATTTGGGTTAAAGTGGGCCTGGAGAGTTTAGTTCAGTCTTGTATTGCTGCCATAGATATGGTGTTTGGACAATGCCTATTTGGTCTAAAAGTTCTCAAGGATATCAGGTTCATTTCACAACTAATTTGGAGATTAAGATCTTTTTCAGTTCCACTCTGGATTAAGTTTGTGGGGTCTTGGACTAGTCTAGAACCTTTCAGAGAGATAGAGTAGTCCTAAAGTGCAGCCATAGAGATCTCAAGAGGCTCCTTTGTCTAGTCACTTTAAGAGTGGATTTCAAAGGGCACATCTAGGTAAGACTAAATTTTTATGACCACTTCAGTCTAAATGCATACACCTAGGGTTTGGAAGAGGCACCTCTCATGCTACTTTATATTTGATTGAAATAACTCAGAGTGCAAAAGATGCTCATGTTTATGCTTCAGTTATTATGGCATTAGTTATTGAAAAATAATGATCTGAGTCCATTTCTTAGATTTGAGTTTAATTTCTTGGAAACATAGATGATATTGCAATGTAACACACAGAAGGTGGACAAACTCAATTTGGCAAATTTAAGTGAACTGTCTTGTTTTGAATAAAGAATTAATGTTTTAAAGTTCAGTTTGGGGTACATACAGGATTAATGTTCATTTCAATTATAAACACAAGAGCAGATCATTTGGGGATCTCAAATGTGAAATTTTGAATGATGGTATAGATCTTTTCCTTAAATTCAAATCTGGTATCAAGAAAAGGCCACTGGACCCCAAACATTTTTATCCATGGAAAAAGTTTGCCTCTTGGTAATTAAGAAAAAAAATATGATTAGGAGAATTTGAAACAAACATAGATTTGTAGTAGAATTAATTTGATCAAAACTTCAAATTTATCTCTGGCCAGAAAACAACCCACTAAATATTAGATAGTTGCAAATATTGTAGACTCATCAAATGTCATTTGAAGAGTCTTCTCCCATTTTGTTTTGTATTTTTCATTCTTCACATTTGAAAATAACATGAGGTTAATTAGTACTATTTTTTTCCCCAGGGGAAGACTAAAATAATACCCTGCTTTAATCCAAACACTTTGTTACCAGGTAAGTGGTCTTAACACACTGAAGTTTGTGAAATGAATTGTAACTAAAAGTATAAGTAAACATTATGCTTTCTCTTGAATTGATACCTTTGTATTTTCAAAATCTTTTGTTATAAGTTCTCATCGAATAGCATCTAAGAGTACAGAAGGCATGTGCCAAATTCCAGTAGTTGCAAGCATGGGAGTAACCCTTTGTCAACAGGATAGGGAATTTGTCAGCTCCATAAAAAATGGGAATAATAAAATGGCAGCAGTAAAAATTATGAGACGTTTCTTAGTTACACAGTACTTACCATTTTATCTTCACAAGACTGGGTGAGGTAGCTAGGACAGGTGGATCCACTAAAGCTCCTGCCAACTTCAAGAATACCACTTACACATTACTCAATCCTGGACATAAAATTGGGGACTCTCTTCTGTAATGTCCTTTTGCCAGTCACCGGAGACCATTCCATCCCAGGTAGTGATTAGACATCTAGACATTGTAGAGAGATGTTAAGCACCCTATATAAGCAATTCACCGAAAGGAGGATGAAATCTCTATCATCAGCATTGTTATGCACAACAAAAAGGCACACATGAATTGGTCCATTTAGCTGCATCTGGAATATAAAGGAGAAGAAATTAGAAAAAATATCTCAACTCTTTAAAGACTTGTACTCTTCTGGATATTCCAAGAGACCAGAGAAATTTGATTCCCTGCATCTACATGTTTCAGGTATAATCAGCTTCCCCCTCTCTTCTGTGTGTTGAATTGGTGCATAACACTTTTCTATTGTTGTTTCCCCCTGGGGAGATGGATTATATCTTTCTTAGCTATTCATGTTAATAAATGGATTGATTTCAAAGAAATGACATATCGTGGTTATCACAGGTTTTTGGTAAATTTTTTCCTCCATAAAATTTTAGAAGAATGAAACAGGCATCATCTATGAGTTCTGTCAGTGTCACTAGTAACTTGAAAGAGATAGCTTCAGAATTACTCTATTGAAAGCCTCAAGTATATTTTAAAAGTAGTTATTTTCTGAAAACTTGAATTATTGTAATAGCCTTTTATTTGGTTTCCTACTAACAAGGTGGCAGAGTGGGTGGAGTGCTAGTCTTGGAGGCAGGAAGATCTAAATTCAAATCTTGCCTCAGACACTAGCTGTGCATACCTGGGCAAGCTGCTTAATCTCTCAGCTTCAGTTTTCTCATCAGTAAAGGGGGGATTATAAAGACATCTACCATATAAGGCTCTTGAGAAGATTAAGTGAGATGATATTTATAAAGCATTTCTTAAACCTTAAAGCATTATATAAATGCTACCTATAATTATTCTTATTTAACACATTACTGTGATTTCTTTCCTTCTTAAAAAAAAAACAGATCCTCTTCTGCGTGATTATTGGGTGTATGAAGGCTCCCTTACCATCCCACCTTGCAGTGAAGGTGTTACTTGGATCTTATTCCGATACCCTTTAACTATATCGCAGATACAGGTAATGGCTGTACTTCAACTGTTCATAAAATATCATTGTGGCTTAAAAGTTGTTTTGTTTTGTTTTTGCTATAGAAAAGGACTTAACAGTTTTACCTTTACACCAAAATCAGATTTTTGTTGTTTAAACATTTTCAGTCATGTCTGACTCTTTGTGATCCCATTTGGGGTTTTCTTAGCAAAGATACTGGAATGGTTTGCCATTTCCTTCTCCAGCTCATTTTACAGTTAAGGAAACCGAGGCAAACAGAAGAAACTGAGGCAAATTGACTTGCTCAGGATCACATAGCTAGTAAGTATCCAAGGCCAGATTTGAACTTGGGAAGATGAATTTTCCTAACTCCAGGCCCTGCACTCTAGATACTGTGCCACCTAGTTGCCCCCTTAAAATCAGATAGGAACTATATTTTAATCTGGTATAGGCAACAATCCATAATGTTGTGGGCCTCAATGCAGCTCACGGGTTATGTATTTGACACCTCTTATAATATAAACTACAGTTTTAGAGGCTAAAGAGCAGCAGAATACCTTGAGCTCAAGGTATCCATCTGCTGAGGAAACTATCCTGTGAGTTCAGGACACTATCTGAGGCACTATCTGTATGAGATACTCAATACTTCATTGTATCTGTGATCACAACCCATCCATATCTACTCATCTTGGGTAAATTTCGTCCATGAACCTCAATCAATCCTCACTACATGGAATACCCAATGTGCTTAGATTGTTCCTCTAGTTCTTTTAACATTGTATGAAGCCTGATACAGTATGTAGGGTGTCTGCATCAACCTATGTACATGCTCATGATAAGCTCACCTCCTTTTCTCCTCCTAGCATTCTGATCACATCTTTTATACCATTTCTTTTGCACACACACACACACACACACACACACACAGCCTCCTCATATTCTTTGTGTACCTATCAGTTGTACTTTGAGTGACCCACAATTTAAAATTCCTTGGAGGCTATAGAAATCTATATTCAGGGGGTTTTAAAAAGTGATTATTGACTTTGAGTTCTTCAGATTCCTTTTTTGGATCGTCCAGTTTCTACCATGTACTTGACCTGCTATAGTCCGATAATTTCTCTTTTCTCTTAATTTGGCTAATTTTTCCATACCTTAAAAGATTCCTTTTCTTTTCTTTATGTCCCTTCCATTTCTAATAACTTTCTTTCCTTTGCTAGGCAACCATGAAGTGTTCTCATTTGTTTACATTATCTTTTTAGGTCTTAACTTTGTATTTCCTTGGAATTTCCAGGAAGCTGTCTTTAAAACAGTTTGTAGACTTCCTGTGAGCTATTTACTATTTTAGAAATTACTTTCAATTCTTGCTTCACTATTGCCAAAAATTGGTTCTAGTGTTTTCATAATGCTATTTGTCTTTTATAATGAATCATACCCATCTACATATATAGTAGTAATAAATCGCATTGTAAAGAAAATCACTTTTTCCATGTGTCAGTTTAAGTGTGCTGAATGAATTAATGTAATTGTTCTTTAAATGCTTTTAAAAATTTGCTGTGTAAAAGGCAAAAGGAGGTACTAGAAGCATGAATCTTTTGTAATTAGTAAGGTTAGAATAATTTTTACCTATTTTTTCTGACAATGGAAATATAGTCAAAGAACCTTGAGGGATAGATTATCTTGTCTATTTCCCTACTTCCAATAAATCACCATTTCAATATCACAGAAAGATAGCTAACTGCGCATTTGTAGGAATGCCCATTTTGTTGTTATTGTTCATTTGTGCCATTTCCTTCTCCAGCTCATTTTACAAATGAGGAAACTGAGGCAGACAGGCTTAAGTGACTTTCCCAGGGTCACAGAGCTAGTAAGTGTCTGAGGTCAGATTTGAATTCAGCAAAACTCATCTTTCTGACTCCAGGCCCAGCACCCTATCCATTGTGCCACCTAGCTGCCCCCTGATTAAACAATTTTTTCTATTAGAAAATATACTTGTATTATTATTACTTATACAATTTTATAATCTACTTGCAATTTTTTTTATCACAAACAAGATTTTCTACAAATACTAGAGTCTATCATATATCAATTTATTTGTAATTTTTTTTTGCTTTCTTGATTACTATTGTGGTATTATATATGGTCAGAAATTCTAACCCAAGTCTTAATAGAATTTAAATGGATCTTCTTTTGTCTTGTCTTCAGTGGAAAAAGATCACAACATTCAGATTTACTAATATAGTAATATCAATTCCTTCATGTTCAATTCAATTCATCACAACAAATATTTCTTAAGTGTCTACTATGTGCAAGGCACTTTTAGGTACTAAAGATGCAAAGATAAGGATGACACAATCCCTCAAGGGTCTTACAATCTAGGGTAATGGAGAATAATGAATTAAAAATTCATGCAGATAAATGTAATACTATTATATAATGACACGTCCTAGTGCTTACCTTTCTGTCATGCCCATATCACTACTGAGATTTTTGATGATGTCACTGTCCATTTGCATGTACCATATTAACCAGAGAGAAGATTAGAGTTAAAGTAATCTCCTTAAAATGTTATATAGAAATATCTTCCATTACAATTATAATTAACATAAGGTATAAACTTTTCATTAATGCTTTGCCTAAAGTTATTCTATTTTGTCTTATATTCATCACTACCACTCTCAGCTCATATTTAATTTCTCTCTCAGTTTTACTGTCTTCATTCTTAACTTTTTTAATTCACTGAAATCATGATGAATTTCATCCATAGAAATGGAAATTTCTCAAATCCTTTATCTACAGTCTGGATTTATCTGTGCTCTTAATGTTTTAATGCAGTGGTAGAGCAGTGCTGAATAGACTTCCTATTTTCCAAAGGACATATATGGGGAATCTATTACCATTACTACTTTAAAATTCACAGGGTGACTTTTCCTTATACCTTTTGATACATTCCCCTTTATACTTCTTGTTTCCATTGCTTATAAGATTCAGAATTTCTTATAAAACTGTCTAAAATAGCAATTTAATTCCCTGAGTTATAGTACAACATGTAACTTTACAAGTAACTAAGAAAAGCACCAAAATATTATCAATTCTCAGTCTTAGTTGGAAAGGCTCATAAGCCTGCAGTGGCCAAGCTTTGCCACTAGATGGTACTTGTACACAAATTTAAAATGCCATGAAATTTTAAAATTAACCTGCCTGGGGAGTATGGTTGGTGACCCTTGTCTTCCTTTTGAGTAAATGTATGTATAGATGAAAAGATTGGTATGTCCAAAGGAAAACATACACAATGTAACATCTTGGCAACTTTGCTGCATTTTTGTTAGGCCCTATTTAATTTGGAGCATTAGAGATATATAGATAACTTTTGTAGAATTATTACTTATTTATAATAAAGGTTGAATCATTGTAATATTTGCTGTAGTAATAGTTACAGATGCTCTTTGGTATTACATAAAATATGCAATGTGTTTTTGGTTTGCATAACTCTAAAGATGCTTCCTCCCTTCCTCCCTCTTTCACCCCTCCCTCCCCTTCCTTCCTTCTTCCCTCCCTCCTTTCTTTCCTTCCTTCCTTCCTTCCTTCCTTCCTTCCTTCCTTCCTTCCTTCCCTTCCACTAACTTATATCTTAATTTTTTTCCTACTTTTTGTGACATTACAGCTTTTTATAGGTTTTCATGATACTTATTAGAGGTGGAGCTATTAATAGTATATGCAAATAGTTCTATTACCTCATCATCGTCTCCTCATCTAATGGTGTCCTGAGACTAAGGATAAAGAGCAGCCTGGTATAATATTCTGGAGAGTCAGTCTCTGAATGAATGAATGAAAAAACATTTATTAAGCTTTACAGATACAAGCAAGGAATATAATTCTTGCCCTTAAGGGGCTTACCTTCTAATAGAAGAAGACATCATATAAAGGGGAGCTAGAGTAAGAAAGCAAGGAAGTGGAGAGGGCCATATAATTTGGAAATAGTTGGGAAGTGGCATTGTGGCTTGGTTTTGGGCAAGATAAGGCAAAAAGCCCATCTTTCAGAGTCCGGGGTCCCAGGAGCAGGCATTTAGAGTCGAAAAATCCTGGGTTCAAGTTGTCACTTCTGACACTGTGCTGGGGATGTGATCATGGGGAAATCACAAGCTCATAGTGCCTCACTTTTTTTTTAGGCTAGTGCCTTGAATATACTAGGGCCCATAAGTTGCAGATGACTTGCCCACCTGAATTATCCTAAAGGAGTTTCCATGCTGCATTTCCCTATATGTATGAAATCTCAGATTTTGACCAAATTGTGTCCTGATAGATCTATGAGTGTTTACATGGGCATTAATTCGGGCTTAGAAAATTCTATTGCATATTATAATTATTGTGAAATTAGTGTTTATAACTGAGCATCTTTATTGTTATAGACATTAATTTAAATTGAGTTGGTTATATTATTTGTTTATAGTACACCAAATGACATTTTATGTTTCACCTTACTTCTATAAGGATCTGTGATAGATCCATTATTTCATTGGGATAGGTTCTTTCTTCACTGAGGAAAATTCTAAACTTGATCAGTCAACCAACCAACGAATTGAGCATTTATTTAGTGCTATGTGACAGCACTGTGCTTGTAATGGGGATGCAAAAAACAAAAAAAAAAACCCCAAAAGAAATTCCTACTTTCAAGAAGCTTACATTTTAATGTGACAGACACAATCCTTAAAAGATAGATGCTCCTTAGTAGACTGTTTTCACAAGTTACCATGATCAGTATATTACTACCTACTATCTATAACTTTTTATTGATGTCTAGTTTTTGAATGACAGGCAGTCTGTTGTATGGTCTTTACTTGAAGACTTTCCAGCTTGAGAGGGTTTTACAGAACTTTTATGTTGCTAGCATGCTTTTTTGAAACCATGTGATTTTCTCCATTCTCTAATTAGCCACTGATGTTGGATTTAGTGCAGGATACATTTTTCTAGTAACAGGTAATGCTATAATAGGCTAACCACTCTCTTAGTCTTACTGTGAAACAAGAATTTAG